ACGGTATCATAAATTAAAAAACGGAGGTAATAATACTTATAAAAGATGTGGTCCATCTAAATTATTTTACACTAAAAAGTGATGACACCTATCAATACCATGTTCCTATTTGTGTGTTCATTTCTACTCTACATGACTTCAGCCGGATAAATTAGCAGCTATCAGTGATTTCGGATTGGGGTGTAATTGAGATTTTGAAAAGCCGGTATTTTCAGTAAAAAAAAAAAGCACACCTGTATGATTTGACGTTTAATACTACATTGCTTTAGTTTGTGGAGTACGTCCTATAAAGAAAACCGTAGAAGATTTCCCAGGAAAGAAATGGAATCGAAGCTTAGGTTAATTTAGTTTAGCTAAGCTTGCTCGTACAACTTGATCCATTACTTAAGCACCAAACAGTGATCTACCTCTGCATATATAAACCATGGCAGCCCTGGCATTTCCAGCTGCAGTGCAGATCAACACATCTCTCATCTCACTTAATTAGCGAGTTATCTTAACAACTAAATTAGGTCACCATTAGCATTAGCAAGCTAGACATATAATCCAAATATTGTTGCTGTGTGATCGATGGGCAGCGTGTCGTGCGGCAGATCAGCGGCGCCGGCGGCGCTCGTTGCACTTGTGGTGGTGTCGTCGGCGTTGCTGTCACTGTCAGCTCGCTGCCAGTGCCACGCCGCGCGATCTTCCCCTCTCGCGGCCGCCATGTCGCCGCCGCCGTCGGCCGTGACAACGGCGGCGGCGGCGGCACGCGGCGGCGGCCGCGTGCTGCAGGAAGGAGGAGGGGAAGGAGGAGGAGATGGAGGTGAGGCGGGGGTGGGAGGAGACGGCTTGTTGCCGACCAACCCAGGCAACAGCCCGGCCACCGGGCACGCACGCAAGCCTCCCGCGTGATCATACGCATGATGTGGAATATTTGCCAAAGTGTGAAGCAAACAAACGTACGACACGCTGCGTGCGCGCGCGCGCGTTAATTAGATAGCTAGCTAGTTTGGACGGAATAATCTCGATCGATCTTGTGTGTGTGTTGTTCTTGTTGGTTTCGCAGTATATTTTGTTTGTGTTTAATTTGCGTCTCGTGGTTTGTAAGAGTTATTCTGACTTCGTGGTCGCTAGCTAGCTAGCTATATATTTATATCGTTGTTTGTGCTCAAGAGCATAGTTATGATATGTAAAAAAGATATATATATCGCATGTACATCTATATTGCAATAAAAAGACGGTGGTTAATTAGTATATTGTATTGGGAAAATACCGCATAGGTGTCTATATTTTTCTCCGGTGATCTTTGAGGTGGCGGGCATGGGAGGTGGCGCGCTGCAGGGGTGCAACCGGTGGTGGCAGGCTACAACTGCTACACCCCACCTAGCCTATTGGATCCCATGGAGAGGAGAGAAGGAAGGGAGAAGAAGATGAGCCACCTTCAAGTAATCATGTCCCTGGCTACGCTCTTTGGAGGCTGCCGCTTCATCGGGCATCGAGCCAGCCACTCATCTTCTGGTGAAAGTGGTGGGTACAGGTGATTGGCCGCCGCTCTAGCCGATCTGTCTCCTAATCCGGCTGGCCACTACCATCGTAGTAGTGAGCTTCCCTTTGAGTATCGGCATCGGTAACGCCTGTGGGTGCCACACATATTCCTAGAGGGGTAGTTTCCACGATTCTTCACTCATACTTGCCATGAGGTGGACACTCAGAGCGAAAAATGTCACAACCAGAAAATCACATTTCCCAATCACTACTGTATTAATCCGCGTCCTAGAAAAAAATCATGGTATACCTCAACGAATTTGATGCGAAAGACACATCTTTATTATGTTGATAATATTTATATTATTATAAAGGCCGTCAGACCTAACAAACAAAAATAAACAACAACAGAAAAACAAACCTATATTTCCATCATCACATGCGCTCAACTAGGGTATAAGACAAGACTCTACCTAGGACTTCTTCTCCAAAGTTTCACTTACTAAAGAGGAAAAGATTGAACAAAAATGAATATAATCATCGTACTCAGCAAGTCACACCGGGAGATGCATGATTAATGCAAGGTGGTATAATGAATAGTATTACAGGGTTGAGTTTTGCAACAAACAATCATTTCAAATCATTTTAGGAATAAAAGTCAATTTTAGAAACATGTTCCTATAATCCAATTAATTATCAAGGTCACGACCCATGCGAACCTACATTAAACCACAGGCCAAAAACAGATTAAACCGGCCAAGCAGCCTTGTACCAGATTCTAAATCGTCCTAAGCCATACCAGGCCAACCATTCCAAGTTTTAGTTAGCTAACTAGATTATCCAAATTTTAACTACTAACTTGAGTACATTACTAGGGATGCCCATAATCGAGGTACAACTATTCAAATAGGTTTTACTATGATTAGAGGTGTATATCTTTACCCATAAGACACGCCTTCCTCACATGTCACCACGTGCCTCATACCACCACGGTACATGGACGGAAAAGGTGGCATTGTTCTTTACTCATCCTAGCCCTGAACAAGGGGACTGACACAACCCCATTCTACAGCCAAGGACCTTGTGACAGGTAGAGGTTATAATTGCGTCCCAAAGCATCAGCTCACCCATATTGGGAGTGACTACTCGAGTGATCTTCCTTTGCCACAAATATAATCTAGGTTATCGAGCTAGCTACTTGAGTAGCTTTCCTTTGTCTCTAAGACAATATCCATCACACCAGACTTCGTCTGCTTCTATTCGTGTCCCGATGCCCAATACTAGACTGAGCTACAAAGTACGCCTTACCCACACTAGACATGTGGTAGTACAGTAATATTTTACAACAGAAGCTCGAGATTAATCCTCATAGCGGTCGAGGTATGGTTTTGGGAGTTTTGAAAGGGGAAGAGAGTGTCATGTGAAGGATATACCTCCTAAGTTCCAGAGTTACCATAAGTGATCTGAAATAGCTCCCGAAAGTCACATAATAAAACATCTACGTGTTGCTAATTAAGCATGCTAAGCATAAACCTAAAAGGTCTAATAAGCGCCACATATATAGTTCTTACTAACCGGTTCTTGTTACATAGGGTTGTCAAGAAATAGTTAAGCAATAACAACCAATAGGGCCATAACAAGGAATAATAGGCCTAGCTAAGTTAAACAGTTATTCATCGAAATTTAATACAACAAAGTGCAATAATTTAAATTAAAATAACTTCTGTAAACTGGGATTCGATATGCTCAAGGAGAGCATGACTTACCTTGCTCTAAGAAAAGGGTCTTCTGAACCTTTAACAACAAACTCAACCCACACTACGGGATCCTCCAGAATGACAGCAACTACACGAAGCACACAAACAAAACTAAAACCCTATTCAAGAAGCAATAACAATACCTAGAAAGCACAAACATGGATTCTTTATGTTATAAAAAAAGTTAAGAGAATTGAACTAGTTGATTCAGAGATCATATGACCAAGATCATCTAAAGTTTAATGTTGTTATGACAATTTACGAATTATTGTGATTAATTTTAGATCTGTAGAACATGTCTAAGACATCGACCCAAGAAGAAAGGAAGAGTTGAGTTGTTGACATTTGGACCTTACATGTCAATCTCTAGACCACAGTAGACAAAGTGCATAGAAGCAGTCCGCGGATCTACGGAAGGGGAACCTATGTGTCAACCGGAACAAATGACCGACAAATAGATCCCACTAGATGCCACATGGGCTGCACATATGGGCAACCACATGGCGCTCACATGAGCATGTGGAAACACTGTCATCACATGTGCACATCACTGCGGCACGAGCGAAAGCTGACACCGACGCACGACCACGTCCCATCGACAAACAACAGTATAAGGAAACACCAAAATGAGAGAAGGCCTGACGAGGGGATGATGAGCTCACGAACAGGACTGGCACAGTGAGGAGACAACGACGATGACTGACAACGAATGGACGAGGACGATGTAGACGAGGAGATGACTTTAGTGACGACCTAGCGGCGTAGGCAAGGCAGTGCTAGAGCATGGCTTGATGACGCGATGCCGAAGGTTGTGATGATGAGGTTTGGCAGCGCGTCGACGAGGCGGGAATAGCGACTAGAGGCACTCCAGCTTGATAGTGAAAGACGGCGATGAGGACGATGTTACTGTGGCAGCCTTCGGGCGATTGGAGAGCGAGGTTGAAGTGGAGTTCAGCACTGCGAAGCCGAAGGCGGTGGCGGTTCAGCCGGGCAACGCTCTGGCGAGAAGAAACAACCGGCCAGAGTTGCATTGCGAGATAGAGGAGGAAGGCGGCGATAATGAATGGGTTCCGGCGTGCTTTGGGCGAAGCCGAGGGGTGGCCGGGGAAGGAGATGGTGACGTCGGGCAGCACTCCAACAAGGTAGAGTGAGGAGGATGTCGTGGAGAGACGATGTAGCCAGGAGGGAGGTGGCAAAACAGAATGATGGGAGGGAGAGAGGGCTCTGTTTTATAGGCAAAGGAGGGAGATCCGGTGATGGAAAGTGCGGATTGGCAGTGGCAATCATGCCGAGCAGCCATCAATGCCAGCAAGGAAAGGCGCGGCCATTTCGGGCGTTTCGATACACACAATTATTGGGGGGAAACTTAGGGAAAAAAATAAGAGGAATGAAAGGGGGGTTAAAAGTCCCCAGTCAATTTGGAAGCATGGGATTTAATTCGGGTGGATTTTGGGGAGCAACATGCAGGGTTTATGTTAGTTTTATCTTTCTAGAAACTCTAAAAATTGTTCTGATTACATAATAATTATTTCTTGTGCTCTGAGTAACGTTTTAGACCATGGAGATTTTAGGGGGAAAAAAATACTCCAAGGCACATTTGAATTCTACTTGTACGTATTTCATTGTTTGTGATTTCTTTTTTGGCTTTTAATACATTCTATTATTCCATTTCAGAAATTATTTTTAATTGGGATAATTTATCACGACATGACAAAAATCTTATTGTGGATGTCCACAATACTGATGGTGATATTTCAAATGTCACGACCTGTTCTGATGGCATCGAAGGTTTCCTATCGGCGAGTTGTCTAGTACTCCGTATGAAATAGTGTCTCCGTCAGATTGGGGAAGCGGGAAAGGGGAAACGATGATCCGCATCTGAATTCTCAAGTCTCCACGAGACGACGAACCAAAGCAAAGCAAAGCGAAGCGATGGAGCAAGCGCTGCTCCGAATCCTCCGAACCCTCGGCTCCACCGCCCACCTCACGCAGGCCCACGCCCGTCTCCTCGCCGCCGGCCTCGCCGCCAGCCCGCGCCTCCTCCCGGCGCTCGTCGCCGCGGCCTTCTCCGCCCACTCCCCTCGCTACGCCGCCGCCGCGCTCCGCGCCGCCGGCCCCGCCGCCTCCACCGTCTCCCACAACACCCTCGTCGAGCGCCTCGCCGGGGCCAGGCCGCGCGGCCGCCGCCCCGCCCCCGCACCCGCCCCCGCCGATGCCCTCGCCGCCTACGCCGCCATGCGCGCCCAGGGCGTCCCGCCCAACGGGTTCACCTTCACCTTCCTGCTCCGGGCGTGCGCGCTCCTGGGGCTCCCGCGGCCGTGCGGCTGCGTCCATGGCCAGATCGTCAGGTGCGGGTTCGGGAGCGACGTTTTCGTCCAGAACGCGCTCATGGATGTGTACCACAGGTGCGGTGGCGGTGGCGGTGGCGGTGTTGGGGCCGCTCGGCAGGTGTTCGACGAAATGGTTGACAGGGATGTGGTCTCGTGGAACTCCATTGTTGGGGTGTACATGTCGAGTGGGGACGCTACGGGAGCAATGGGGTTCTTCGAGGCGATGCCTGAGAGGAATGTTGTCTCCTGGAACACTGTTGTTGCCGGGTTTGCAAGGATGGGTGACATGGTGACAGCGCGGGCTGTGTTTGACAGGATGCCTTCTAGGAATGCCGTTTCTTGGAATTTGATGATTTCGGGTTATGCGATGAGTGGTGATGTGGAGGCTGCACGTTCCGTGTTTGATCGGATGGACCAAAAGGATGTGGTTTCGTGGACTGCTATGGTTTCTGCTTATGCCAAGATTGGGGATCTAGATACAGTGAATGAGTTGTTCGATCATATGCCTGTGAAGAACCTGGTTTCATGGAATGCAATGATAACTGGATACAATCACAACTCGCGATACGATGAGGCATTGCGCACATTTCAGCTGATGATGCTTGAAGGACGGTTCAGACCTGATGAGGCGACATTAGTGAGTGTTGTCTCGGCATGTGCTCAATTGGGCAGTGTTGAATACTGCAACTGGATCAGTTCTTTCATTGGTAAAAGCAACATCCATCTCACTGTTGCACTAGGAAATGCTCTCATAGACATGTTTGCAAAGTGTGGGGATGTAGGAAGGGCAGAGTCAATTTTTTATAAAATGGAAACAAGATGTATCATTACATGGACAACAATGATTTCTGGCTTTGCTTTTAATGGTCTTTGTAGAGACGCTCTTTTGGTCTACAATAATATGTGCAGAGAAGGAGTTCAACTGGATGACACAGTTTTTATTGCTGCACTCGCTGCTTGCGCTCATGGAGGTTTGTTGCAAGAAGGTTGGAGTATATTTAATGAAATGGTTGAGCGATATAACATTCAACCAAGAATGGAGCACTATGGGTGCATGGTGGATTTACTTGGTCGAGCAGGTAACTTACAGGAGGCGATTTTATTTATTGAAAGCATGCCTCTTGAACCTAGTGTTGTCATATGGGTCACGTTGCTTTGTTCTTGTGTTGCACATGGTAATGCAGAGCTTATAGAATATGTCAGTAAGAAGATAACTGAACTAGAACCATTTAATTCTAGTTATCAAGTCCTGGTTTCTAATTGTAGTGCTTTGGAAGGAAGGTGGGATGGTGTGATCGATGCACGCACAAGCATGCGTAATTGGGGAATTGAGAAAGTGCCTGGAAGTAGCTCAATCCAGGTAGGCAGTGAGGTTCATGAGTTTTTGGCTAAAGATACAAGGCATAAGAGGAGGAAAGAGATATATGAAACAGTTGACGGTTTAATGGCCCTCATGAGACATACAGAGCAAGCACATTGGGTAAGATAATGTAGAACACTGCAGCATCAGAAGTGCTTAGTTGAGTGTTGCTCGTCCTACATGTGCAAAATAAATACTAGATTACCATTTGAACAGGATGGACTGGTAAGTTGTATAGCAGAGAGAGAGAGAGAGAGAGAGAGAGAGAGAGAGATCAGCAGTTGATGATTTGATTGAATGCATGAATCATAGAGGACACCCCCTTTGATTGCTTAAAGAAATTGCACACCGCTTAACTATTGAAGATCTTGCCTGCTTGTCTGTCTTGTGCAGCTCATGTGTAAAGGTTGAGAGTTGGGACCCTAGGACCTTATGTCCTTGAGTCCTTGTGGCAGGACCTTTTTGTGGCTAGGTACTGGGGCTATTCAATGCTTGATAGGGCAACAACTGTGTAAGATACAGCTAGTTTTTGCTGACATTGCTTCACTGTGATTATGGGAGAAGTTAATCGCTGGAGTGCTCTTTTACAGCCGTTTTCCAAGTGTAACTGAAAAAGTCTAATTCAGTTCATCAGGTGTTGTGAATAATCTGCAGTAACATGGGTAAAGGGGATCTTCCTATTGTTCTACAACTGTATCAGGTTTGCTAATAATCTTCTTTCTGGATCAAACTGGAGAGCATCACTTTTGGTAAATAGAAGGCAGAGAGTTTTGCTGCAATTGGCATGAACCAAGCTCTGGTTCTGTCACCACTCACCAGGAGCAAATAGCTGCGTACTATCTCAGATATAAGTAGACGTCACTTATTCTCTGGGCAGTTGAGTCTTCTTTACTATCAATGCATATTTGAGGAAGCTGCTTTAGCTAGCAGCAGAAGTGCTCCATACGGTCTTTTTGGGTGATCACCCCAACCCATTGCATTTTGATTAATCTGGTGAATCATATTGAGATCCTGTCTTCAAACTACTGAAATCACAAATTGGGAGCACACGACTTATCTGTTTCTTTGACTAGCATGGCATATTTGTTACAAATAGTAAGTATAGAAATTTCTTTCCCAGTTTTATGTGTTGTACATTATTCTCAAACATCTTATTTGAAAGAAGAACACTTTTCAATATTAGTACACTGGTAAGTGCAACTGGTTTTAGGCCTTTACATAGTTTTCTGATCTTACTTCAATTTTAGCTTCTAGCAATCTTGACTTTGGCTGAGGAACATAGCTGCAAGCAACTTGCAGCTAGGAAACTAGGATGGGATTGGGTTGATACTTGATAGAAATCCATTAGCCACTTCGATTTATTTTGTTAAAATTTGAGTTTTTGTTATTCTCTTGTTGGCGCTATACGGTTCAAAATCGCTGAATCATGTTCCATCTATTGCCTGGCTATTTCAAGGTGCATTGGCCTTTACACCACATGTCATCATGACAGCAACAACCAGTTAATAAATGCCCTACTGGCAGTTTATAGTTCTGGACCATGCTGATTACATAGCTGCCAGTCTGTGACCTTCATCTAGATCAATAGTCGTATATGTTCAATCCTCTTCCATCTATTATGAATTTATGATATGGTAAATTTTTTTTCACCAAGCTTGTTTACAAGGTAAAATTTTTCTGCTCTTATTTTGTTACAAGCATGAATGTAAAATTAATAGTGAACTACCATCCATTTAAAGAAGAAATTTCTTTTTCAAGAAACAAAACCTCCACTGAGAATTTGCATTGCAGGCAGAAGTTGCTGTGCTCATGTCAAGATGTAGTTTTACAGTGACAACTCATACCAGGATGAACTTCACATTTGATTGTGGTGTGTTCCGCTTCTTCCTCAGTACAGACATACTGTCTGACTGTCTCCTGGGTCATTAGAGCTATAGGAACATACATTTTTTCTTAATGATATATGGGTACTTTGTGTTGTCTGATTTCTCATATTTTCACTGTGGAAATTTATCTTTAGTTTTGGCTGGATTATTCAGCAAATTTTATGCTTGAGTACTCATTGTCGACTTGAACACTATTTATGATTGAATTAAATTAAGACAACAAATTACCTGGATTTACAGTAGTGATTCTCTTCTGTAATACATTTAGGAGATATTTGTTGTGGAGAATAAAAAAAGAGCAGGGACACGAATGTTAAGTGCAAAATCTTATAATAATTTCCATGTGAATATAAGACAACATTGGAGTGATAAATTGATTGAATTTTTTATATATGCTACTGAAAGTTGTCATTAGCAAAGAGAATATTTGTTGTTTATTTATGTCTGAGGTTAAGCAGCATTACCCAAAGAGATGATATTGATATGGAAAATCACAAAATAGATGAAGATAATATGACATAGAAAGCTGATGGACACTCTGGACTCTATTTCTCAGGAATTTCCCTGATTTAGGGAATTGAACTTTTTCCTGTAAAATTCGTTTAATGCCGTGTGCTCCATTTCATCATTTTTCCTATCTTTACCTTTTTATTACCCTAATGTTTACAGTGTCAAGGTTATTCTTTAACAAAAAGGACACCTAATGCTAAGAGATGACTAAGTGACCAATTAATTTATGAAGTACTAGTAGAAGTCTAACCGATCTAATTTTGAATCTTCATGTTGTCCGATGAGGCTTTCCTGACATTTTAATTCACATTCTGTAAGACTGTGACATGCTTTTGCATTCTTTGAACTTTTGTAAGGAAGGGTGTGAACAAATTTTGAAACATCAGTTCAGGACTTCTTTTTTCAAGGCTAATCTCAAGATATTGTTGCTTTAGTTTATAGAGACTAGAAGATCTGATTGGCTTATATTGTAACTTTTCTGTTTTCCATCATTCAGGAAGATCATCGAAGTTTTGATCACCAGGTCATTCTGACTCTCCAGCCCTTCTTTCCTTTTTACCTTTGTCACTCCAATCATGACTCATGATAAGTTATTTTAATTTGCTTTCAGGCTGCTGTCCGAGGATTAAAACTAATCAGTCCTTCAAATTCGTGCCAGCGGTAATTTTGTGCTTCCTGACTCCTGAGTTGGATGATTTCACATATCTAGTACTTTTTTTTTTATGATTTTAAAGATCTCCAGGTCGATAGCATCACATTACTGAAACACAAGGAAATCATAGGTTTAGGCATATCAAAAACCTAGGTACTACAGCATAACTTGGAGTCTAGTTTGGTCCAAAAGAATATTATTTATTTGCATTTTTTGCATACATTAGATTCTCCTCTGTGGAAGCCTTATCTGCATCACATTTATCTGACATGCAATTTGATGCCATCTATTATGCTTCCCGTACAAAACTTTTACTACTTTAAGAATACCCGATGTTGTATCAGTGGACAAACTATTGTGAGGAAATCGATCGCATAACTGGTCCTTCTCTTTACTATCTAGTAGGAGTATTTGCAACTTACACCTTATCTGCTAGTAAAGTGAATGCTCAGTGTTCCAGTTGATTTTGATATTCCCAACTGAAATAAGCAGTCCTATTGTTGTCGATATTTTCATTCAATAGTAATAATAATATAATTATTGCCCCTTGAACCATAAATACTGGTAAAATACATGCTGGAACTTGGAAGTATCGCACAGAGCTCAATTATTCGTAGTACTACAGTACTGGGTTCTCAACTAATTGACTACTTTCTCATGCTCTTCATGTGCAGCTGGGAGCAAGGACAACCATTGGACAAATTGGTGGTCACAACTCACAAGAGCCATCATCATCCTGGGGTTTATAGAAACCAGAGATCTCCACACAAAGCATTGATCAGAAGTATACTGGCCTACTGGGATACCAGAAACACATGGAACCATTTTCACCTTGTGCATTCAGAGACCGTGAGTTATTCTGCCACGCAATCGCAAGCGAAAAATGGGCGATTCTTCCATGTGAGCATTCATGGCCCTGCCAGGGGTTCTAGGACACCAAGAGGACGTTCCTTGTTCATCTTTTGCTCAGCATGGACTAATGCAATTTCATTTTCTGTTCCAGTGTCCCGCCCTGTCTCCCCTGCTCCCCAAAGCTGGAGCAGGGGGAATGAAGCTGGGCGATTGTTGCTTGGAGGGGCCGAGGATTCGCTGGTGGCTCAATTATCCTGGAGTTCATTCTGAAATCTGAACTTATAAGATGAGATAGCTGTTTCTGAATTCGCAGAAGAGAAGGCATCTAATGCGATTTGAATACTTGGTTACTCTCTCTGGTAAAAAAAAATGATGTTTGATGGACAAAAAATTAAATTGTTGTGTATTAATAATGCCAATATTCCTTAAATGTAATGTGAGGTATTGCAAGTTTGGTAAAACCTACTGTTGACAAGTGGCTAGTCAGGGTGGAGGCCACAGGGACTAGGCCATGGCTCTGGTGTGTCATCTCTAACAAGATAAATTCAATGCGGATTAAAAATAAAAGGCAAGACCAGTTCATGGCTTAAACCCAGAAGAACGTGTTCCGTCCTGCAAAGCCAAGAGATAAACATAGGGAATAAATATATTGCATAGTTGCACGGGTTGCAGTGTATGTACTGTATCGCCCCATAGGTGAATTAGAGCTGAATCTTTTGTTATTTAATTTTTTTAAAAAAGCATTTTTTTTAACAACGAACAATGTCAAACTTTTTTTTTAACCTGAACCTTTTGACCATGCCAATATTCTTTGACATTACCACCGCAAAGCTTCATTACAACACTATTTATGTGGTAAGAGGTGCCACATTGTATGTTGCTATCCTGTGGCATGGCATTGCCACATCAAAGCTTTTTCCCATTTCAAAGAGGATTTTGCTTTGCGTGTGCATGTGTTCAGAGCAAAAAAAAAAAAAAGAAAAAAAACCACTTAGACATCATAGCTAGGACTTTTAGCATAACCAATGTTGTACATTCTTCATTCTCCTTGTAATTATTTTTCCCTCAAAAATTATTTTTTGCCTGTTGTACATAACTTTCTCTTTATAATGGAAAATTACAGTAGGAGGCTCTCCATGCTGTGTTTGGGTAAAAAGAAAAAAAGAAAAAGCTTCCGTCACATTTACTTAATTTTTCCTTCAAAATTTTGCGTTCATTGATTCAAAGTTTCTGTTCTCAATCGCAAAAGATCAAAAAAATGTATGTGCTGATATGATATCAATAGCTATGGCAGCTGTTTATTTATGGTTGAAAACAAAGTACATCATGCACCATGCTATATTTCCGTGCATGCTTTCATTTTCCCTGCAATTTAATTTCTAACTTTTGATGTGCTCATTTGTACTACATCTATTCAACAGTCCTACATTCATTTTGGATATCCATGTAATAGTATTAAATCATGCTTCACACATAAGCGCATGAGTTTTTCCCCAGTATATATCCATGAGACAGATAAAATGATGATGGTTACAAGGTTTATAATAAAGTGTTTGTGTTCATCTCACGTTATTTCTATTGGTTAAATACCAAGTTGCATATCCTATATGTTGTAACTACTTAGCACTAAGCAGGCAATTGTAATGAGGGGAAGCTTAAGAAAATCCATTTGTAACAGTGGAAAAGGAGAAGCTCTACTGATGAACAACATAATAGGAGCTTTCCACATTTGATCTGGATTATTAAATCGCTCTAGTAGTTGCTATGTCCAATATAATGAAATATGTTTTCATTATGTCATGCATAGCATTGAGATATTGCGATTTCTATCGTCCGCCAATATTTTTTGACAAATTATATGCATCAGGAAACTAATAAGCTGTTAACATTCTTGGCCCCCTTCGATTCAAAGGAAATTCATAGAAATTTTAAAGGGTTTCATTCCTATAGGAATTTTTTTTATATAGCCCTTTGAATCAAAGGAATAAATCCTATGGAATCCTAGCTATGAAATTCTTACGGAATGTCTCTTCCCATGTAAGTTTTGGAGGAAATTTAACATGAGGTTTTGCCTCATGTTAAGAATCCTTTGAGTCTTTATCTCTCCTCAAATTCCTGTGTTTTTCATGCGGCTCAATCAAACAATCATTCTTATGATTTTTTCCTGTGTTTTGCAATCATCTGTTTTATACTTGTATTTCTCTCATAATCATATGTTTTTCCTATTCCTTCGTTTTTTTATTTCTATGATTTAAAGGGGCCCTTAGCTTTTATACATCATGATGTTTAGGGCTTGTTTGGATCGGGGATTCATGGAAGAAAAACAGAGGATTCTAATTCCAATAGGAAATGGTACTGTTTGTCCATTCGGAATGGAGGATTATCCCTTTGGAAAAATGGTGGAAACTTTCTTATGGTGCTAATTTTGTAGGAAAACTGCAGGGGAAAAATGTCCAGTCTGACCTCTTTGTTTTCTTTCTCATTGCGGAGGATCGAGGCAAATGAAGCCCTGATGCCACACTAACGTACGCAAGGCTTAAGCATCATCAGGCTTCTCCTTTTTATTATTTAATGCTTTTTTAGGGATAAGACTATAGTTAACTCTCTAATAAACTTTTCACGTACCGTTGTTTCCCGTGTTTTTCCCATGGTTCATCTAGACATCCATTCCTATGAAGGCCCCCTTTGTTTCAAAGGAAAAACCACATGAATTTTAGAGGATTTTATCCTATGAGAAATAATCCTATAGAGTCCTTTAAAACAAATAATTGTTTTCTACCAATTCCTTTGAAATTCCTATGCTACAGCAATTTTGGAGGAAAATAAGTATGAGGCCTCACCCCATGTTTTCCTTTTCATGTGTCTAAAATTCCTGCGTTTTTTCTATGTGCTAATCAAACGATAGTTTAGAGACTTTTCTGTGTTTTATAATCCCATAAGAATTCAATAATCATAACATTATATTCTTATGTTTTTCTTATTCCTATGTTTTCTCAATCTTGCATTTCAAAGATGTCCGAAATTCTTGTATTTTCAAATCCTATGTTTTATATTTTTTTCAACCCTACATTTCGAATGAGCCCTTAGTTTGCTTCCAAAGGATGCCTAGCATAAAAGATGGCCTTGCTGTTAGCCACTTAGCCAAAATCTCTAAGCTTGGTTCTGGCTTCATTCTCAGTTTGCTACATGCATCCTTGGCCTACAATGAAGCCACATAACATATTTTAGATGTAATTGGATGAATCTGCACGAAAATGTTCCTAGCAGACACTATCTCACAGGCGCCCAATTTCAGTAGAAGACACTATCTCAACAGCGCCCAATTTCAGGCATTACTGATGCCTCGCAATCCTATGCTTGAGTGATAATTATATGGCTATATTAATTGATGGAACGACAGAAAGCATGCATGAGTACTGAGAGGAAAATAATAAAGCTTTGTTCTAAGTGGTGGTGGATCACTTGATATAACGTTATGATGAATGAGTTGTCTCGCGAGCTATGGCTATCTTATATAGATGCCCCTTTTAGTTAGTAAATTTATATAGGTGATTATTTTGATGGCCGTTAAGTACCAAATTAACGCTGTCAATACCTACATAAGACTATAAATATAAAACATACAACATAGTGGTAATGTTTATTTCTAACAATTTTCATGAGTATTGGTGTATATTCATATACAAGTGACAAACTACCTAAGTTGAGAAGAAATATACATGAAGGAAGAGGAGAATCAAACTCGTATCCGAACTTATGGAGTTTTAGACCCAAAACCAAATTAAACACCTCTAAATGGGCCAAACATCCATACCAATAGAATAAGGGGTCCAAAATAAATGTCCAGGCTGAAAACCGGGGCCAACTGAGCCGGAGTTCGGCCGAACCATGACAGAGGCCGCTGCCTCGACCCAGGTTGCGTTTGGTAGCAAATCGCTCCCCGTTGACGGTTATGGCCGTTTTCACCGGTGAAAATAGTCATAAGCTGGACACTTGGCACTAGGAGGATGAAGATGCTCATTGGATGCTTGGAAGAAACTCTATCCTCCCAAGGCACCTCCACCTATAAATACTCCTCTCATCGTTCATTTTAACACACAACAAGATGTAGAGCTGAACTACAATAGGCCCTAAGTATACTTTAGGATCTTTATATGTTATATGGTATATACTTAGAATTAGGGAGAGAGTAAAATAGAAGTCGGAGGAATTCCGGAGTTATCGGTAATCCTTTCCTTATTTTTGTACTTCGTTAATGACGGAGCGTGGGGCTCCTCACCGGGAGACCGCGCAGGCCCCCCTTTGCCGGTTTGGCCGGGGACTCAGGGAGAGATTCTAAGCTCTCTGTATGTGGAAGGCTCGCGAGACAGGAAACACACAAGACACGGGCGATGTATACAGGTTCGGGCCGCTGAGAAGCGTAATACCCTACTCCTGTGTTTTGGGAGATCTGTGTATGAAGGAGCTACAAAGTATCAGCCAACCTCTCCCTTGTTATGGGTTTCTAATCTGGAAAAGTCCAGTCCCCCCTCTCAGTGGGCAAGGTCCTCCTTTTATATCTTAAGGGGATACCACATGCACCATTTCTCTCTTTTTTGTGGGGACTTACCCCCCCTTTCATAAATGGACGGAGATTTGTATAGTTGCCGTCCGAGTCACCTTCTGATGAGACGGCCCACAACTACCTCCACTTTCGCCGGGAGCAGGTGCAACGTGGAATCGTGGCTGTCTGCTGACGACATGACCGGTATCAGACCAGTCACGTCGGTCATTCTTGTCCACCACGTGTCAGCTTAGCAATCTACATGCTCGCCCTTCTTCACACAACATCTTGCCTGTAATGGTTTAGGATGAAGCCTGGCATATATCTGACTAGGACTAACGTGCCATCTCTGGGAGGTAACACGCTAGCTCCAGCTGGGGACGAGCGCCTAGAAGCCCTCGTCCTGACGGGATGGGGCGAGGCGTGCGTCAGATCGCCTGTCGCCACCTAACCCGCGATCTGACCGGTCTGTGACTGGTCACAGACCGGATAAACAAGTGCACTGCACTGCGTTACATGCGGCGTGACACGCTCAGCCAAACCGCAATAAATGTGGTTAGGTGAGCCCCACTGTGCTCACCTAACCCATACACGCGGAGCAAAAACCCACGAGGGGTCGGGGCGCCTCGGCCCTCGGGGCCGAGGGGGGTGCGGCCCGACCCCCTCGGGGGGACTAAGAGGAGGGCGAACGCATCACCCTCGGGCCCGACGTCCCTCGGGGGTACCAGGCCACGTGTGCGATTGTGTCTGCCTCAAACCTCTAGTCATGATACTCCTGATCCCATGTCACCGACAGTAGCCCCCGGCGTTATGCCAGGGCGATCGCCCTCTTTAAGGGAAACGGTCGGGCGTGACGCCACTCCTAAGACCTGGTGACAGGTGGGACCGGTCTCCACAATTGGGCAGAAAACCAACGGT